AAACCATAAACCTTTGCTTTTGCATTTTGGTGTGTTGGGTCCTCAGTGGTCTTTTTGGGGTCCAGTGGATGAGGTCCAATAGTACCATTAACACCCAGCTTCCCTCTGTTAAGAGAGTTTGGATTCTCTTCTATCATTTGGAGTGTGTGTCCTGTAACAAGTGCCAACATAGTTGGAGGGGGGGTATTGAGTGTGCCCATGAAGTATCTGAGTTGATCAACTGTGTCCCCTCATCCTCAGAGTAGCAAAGGCAGGGGCCACCTCACCTCTGGCCTTTAGGGTGCTTCTGGCTGGTTGGTTGTTTTTCTTCCCTCATTAAGCACAATTTGAATTGTTCCAGTGAGACCCATTGTCATTTAAAACAGGCAGCAATCGGCTGCCTATTAAAACTGAGCAATGGGGGAAAAAAAGAATCCAGAGATTCTTCAAATTCCAGAGTTCAACACCCTGTGCTCTGTGTGTGTGTGTGTGTGTGTGTGTGTGTGTGTGTGTGTGTGTGTGTGGCATGTAGGTCCCAGGCTGCCCAGGTCCTCTGCATTATCTGTTAGGCCCTGAGTGTGAGATAATAAGATGTCCTGTGCAGCCCCTGACACTGAGAAACTAGGGAGAAGCTTGCCCAGAGCTCTGCCTGCCTTATGCCCAGGACTTGGCAAGGACTTTCAAGTGCTGAGCTTGCCCCTGCTCTACAGGGAGTTTCCAGATGGGACTGAGGCTGTTGAAGATGCAGCCAGCATCTCATTGTCCAGGATATGTACAGCCCACCCACCTAAGAAAGCCCACAGAGGACTCAGAGCTTAAGTGCTTAGTATTCCCATGTCCTCTATATACTGCACCAAATGATCTTTTTACCTGTAGAACTTTGTCTTTATATCCCCAAGGCAGTGATTGTCACCCAGTAGGCTTTCTGACATGCTGAGTAGATGAGTCAGTGGGTGAGTTGACTACAGAGCTATACAAGCTGCCTGACAGCCCTTGGATAGTTTCATAGGCTGTGGTGACTACCATGCCTCTGAGACACAGCTCCCCTTCTGTGTCATGGGATGGGACAGTGGAGATGGGCAAAGCTTGGTATGGCTGGGAAAAACCAAATGGAGCTCATCCCAGAATTCTGTTCTCTCTCAGTCCCATTGGGAGCCACTCAGACTTCCAAGTCAGTTTTCTGTTGAAAGCCTGGAGCTCTGAGGAAATACTACCCTCGGTTTTCTCTCTATCAGTAGTTCTCAATTGGGGGCAATTTCACAATGGCCAGAGACATTTGGCAACGTCTGATTGTTAGAACTGGGGAGGGGATGGGTGTGTCTCTGGCATCTAGTGGGTGGGATGCTGCAAAACATCCTCCAGTACACAAGGGAGCTGCACAATACAAAATGATCTGCCTCTAAATATCAGCAACGCTAAGGCTGAAAACCATGCTTACTGCCATAGAAGTGAATCTCTTTTCCATTCCCATGCCAAGACTTACTTTCCCACCCAAGCATAATACGGATTTCTTTTCTTAATAAGTCAAAGCAGAAAAAACTAACGAATGAGGTCTCTGCCTTTTCTTGCAGGACCAGAACAGAAACCTTTATTGGTTATAGACAGGTGGCCTTGGCAGAGCCTGTGGTTCCACGAGACACCGCTGGAGGGCAGCAGTGATTTCAGTATTTCCAGTTTACAAGTCCTTGAACTGGGGTAGCCCCAGGGGAAGCAGCCAACTGTTGGGAAGAGGTAGGAGAAGGTAGTGGTTCAAAGAGATGTGTGCAAGGGGACTTCCTTATGGGGGCCTTGTGAGGAGCAGACCCTCACAGACTGGTTCCATTTGTCTTCCGCTGGGCCCTGCCTCCCTACCCAGGTCACTCTAAGCCAGGGCCAGGAGCCAGAATCAGTGCTCTCCCACCACACTCCCTGCCCAGGAATCTCAGCTATGTGTAGCCCAGTGGCCCATCCCAGCTCCCACAGCACACCAAAGGCAGCTGCCACCTATATCTCTGCAGGTCTTGAGTCTATCCTACAGCAGTGGCCCCAAGGCTCTCCTCACAGCCTGAGTATTCTTCATTCCCTGCTCCAACATCCCTTCCTGTCAGACATTCCTGACCCTTCCCTCCCAGTGAGCAGAACGGATCAGAGGTGAACAGGCAGAGTTAGGAGCCAACGGTGACAGGCTCTTTGGATAGCAAAGGGATGTCTCTGGGCAGGAATAGTGTGGCCTGATACAAGCCTAGGGTGCTAGGAAGGCAAACAAAGTCATCAAGGAAGCATGGTACAAAGTCTATGAAACAAAGAGAAATACATATTGGAGAACCCTATGGCTATTCTAATGGCTGTTCTAAGTTTTGCTGGTCAGAGACCCACAGGGAGGTGGCAGCCCCTAGAGAGGTAGAAAATGGCAGAGGTGGAGTGTATAGGGCCTTGTGCCCCGCCCCGGCAGCTTTGACCCACCTCTGCCTTTAGATACTCTTGGCCTGCAGAACCTGATGTCAAGTTCTCCTGATTGCTTTAGGGGCCAACCAGGAAGCCAGGTGCCCTCTTTCTTCAGCCTTCCAACCAAACATACAGAAATAGAACTGGGAAGTGAGGCACTTGAGTATCCTTTGTTTAAATGTGATTTATTTAACTGTCACTAGCACTTCATTTTTTATTTTTTAAACAGGGTCTCCCTGCAGCCCCAGCTGGCCTGGAACTCACCATGTAGACCAGGCTGGCCTTGAACTCACAGAGATCTGCCTGCCTCTGCCTCCCAAGTGCTGGGACTACAGGCGTGCACCACCACGCCCAGCCTACTAGCACTTCATTTTTATTAATGGCTCTGCTTAATAGTTGTGAAGACTTTACACATGGTTCTAGCAAACCAATATGAGCTCACTCAGGTGTCACTACATCTTAGATCAGAGAACAAAACCAGAGATGCACTTTAAAATGATGTCACATCTGCTGTGTGTCTTGGAACAACCAGCTGCTCAGACACACTACCAAATCCATGTCTCTCTGGATCATGGCAGGGTCCCAGACACCCAGCCCTCATGCAGAGGAGTACCAGGAGGGTATCTAACTTAAAAGATTTTAAAAGTTTAAGATTGTGCAGGCTAGACACCAAGTTGCTTCTCTTCCCAGAGTCCTAGGCATTCCTGCTGCCACTGACTCATTTCTACTGTCACCTGTGCCAGCTCCAGGTCCCTTCTAGTCTGCCTCTGACATTCCTTTCCCCAGCTATGGGCACTTGGGTCCCTCACCTCTGTCTCCCACTCTGGAACCTTAGAAAGACTTCAGTTTGCTGGCTTCTTTTACTGTTTGCTTGCAGAGCTGTCAACTCCTTCTGATCCTTAAAGCTGTGAGTTACCAGCTTCCACTTACTCTGGCCCTTGGGGTAGGGAAAGGGCTGCCACACAGACATCAGGGTGCCTTAGCCTGAGCCCAGGCTTCAGCCAACCCCTGCCTCTTTCTCTCCCTTCATGCACTGAAACCCCCGGATGGCACCTTGTTTGTGTGTAATCTCTGCGGACAAAACCAATTGTCTTTCCCATTAGCACTGAAGATCGAGTTTCATTCTTTTAGATGAGGAGGGGAAGCTCTGAAGGGAATATTACCAGCTGATCCACTCCCACTTGGGAGTAAGTTTAGTTAGGAGATGTTAAATAGGAGCTAAGTAAGACCATGATCTTATTCTTGGGGAAGAACATCATGAGAGCAGACCCTGCTGCAAACACACCCCAGAGATTTCAGACTTCTACCCTCCCCAACATTACTGCCTCCACATGGTGGAGGTACCTCAAGATATCTCCACTTTCACAGCCTCACTCACCGATCTCCTCGTACCGCATCACTGTGCCCAAATTGGCATTCTCATCTAGGGAGGAAAGAGCAATACAGAATCATTAGGGAACCGAGAACCTCCTCAGTGATGGCATGACGGGGCACACATCAGATGGGCAGGGAGATTCCCTCCCCTCTCGGAGTAGGGCCTCACACTTCTGGGACTTTCAGAACTAGATCACCTTACTGGGGGACTCAATGACAAACACATTCATGTTGAGCACTGTTTCTGTATCTTAAAGCTGCCTACCAGAACAACATCCTCGAAACCTAGGGAGACAGTTTTCAGAGTCATAGGAAATAGTCCCCTCTCCCTTAGTTGCAATCTAGTTTTAAGAACCAGCAAAATTGGGATGTTAAGCTATTTCCATGGTGGGATATTGCAGCAAGAGCCCACAGGAAGATGTGAAAGGCAGAGCCTCTGGCATGGGCTCCTTCATGTGCATTGTCTGCATGGAGGTGCCCAATGTGTGCATGGGTACACACACACACACACACACACACACACACACACACACACACCCCTAGAGTGCGACGTTTCGCCCTGCCTTGTGCCTCCTCAACCATCTTTTAGTCCCCTTTCAATCTGCCTGAAACTGTAAATTTCAAAAATGGCAGAAGGCAGCCCCCACTGCCCCCCAAAAAAACAAAAAGA